TATATATATATATATATATATATATATATATATATATATATATATATATATATTTAAATGTACGAAGTACACGTAATTTCCGAAGACGGTTAATTAGAATTCTGCTCGCGTAGCTCACTGTATCTCGCCGAGTCGCGTGTTGAAAATGTATAAAATGTTCTCGGCAGTACGTTTAAAACACGAGTATAATGAACGAGTATAACGTGGCGCGCCATAAGGGGAAAACCGATATTCGGACAAGAAATGCCCGGAATTTTCGCGACTGTACGCTCAATTACGCTGACGGAAAATTTTAACATCGTCCACGAGCTGTCTTACCTTGAACAGAGTCGGAGCAGCCGTAATGTAATTAGCGAGCATGTATTGGTATCATCTTTATTGTTGTACCTTCGTTCGTTCAATGCGAATCAAATTATACAGTCGGCTGTTATATCACAGTCTCACGATAATTATAACTATACGACATTACAAACTCATCTGGCTCGTTCACAACGGTACGATTACACAAATACATACCCGTACACACAGTTTGCACGTGTTGCGCGGCATATTAGACTCTGATCTGTCGATACTAAATGGAGGCGGATGCTAAATGGAGGCGTATACCTTGGCGCAGTTTGCACTGTTGATGCACAGACACAGGAATGTCTCGAGGCTCGACTTTTTCTTCTTTCATGCCCAAGCTGAAGCGTCGCTCATGTCCGCCTTCGAGTGTTTAGAGAGTGCTTGGGTCCTCTGCTCCATTGTTAAATATCTATTCTGATTTTGGGATATATAGATATCGGGATACAGTCGATGAGCTTTATTTGATTTCAGGTTTTCTTCTCTTTAATGGGCCATCGGCCCTCTTTTTCACGATTATCAAAATATCGGCCGCTCAAATAATAGTTCAGTGTCCGCGATATATGCCTTCGCTTGTGATGAGGAAAGGGACAGTGTTTATTTATTTATTTTTATCATTGCATTGTGGAAAAACGGTGGCTCATCATCAGGGCCTTTCACGTAGATTAAACGTGTCGAGGGGTACGTGTCGGGATGTACATTCTGAATGGTTTTTTTCCGATTGGCTTCATATGGTCATCGGTTCCACGTTAAAATTCTCTCGTTGTTACATCGCCGGTGCACAAAGTTATTCAATTTATTGTTACAAATTCCACGGGATTTTTTTTTATGTAGCCATTTAATCGAATCGTCAATTTCACACGGAACAATCGCGTACGTAACGTTCAATTATCGAGACTCACTTAAGACTAAGTGTGTAAATGATAATAACAGTAACAACAGTTTATTATCGGCCAGGTATCTGCGAAGGCATACGAATAAATACACATCGATATTAATAGAGCAACGTGATAATGAAACGATAAGAGAATCCACAGCACGACGTGCGTGAAGACTGACTCACGCCGCAGTTTATATTTCTCGCGGCTATCGCTTCTCTCTCTCTCTCTCTCTCTCTCTCTCTCTCTCTCTCTCGCTCGCTCGCTCGCTCACTCGCTCTCGTTCTTGCTCTCGCTGTCGCGCTCCCCGCAGTGTGGGACTGTTCCTTTGACACAGAGAGGTTTATCTCGCCAGTTTATTTTCGTCCGTTATCGCAATTACATCATCGTCGATCCGCCACTTTATAAAAACGATAGGTTTCGAGGGATTTTGATATGAAAGCTTAATAAGAAGTCTTTATTTATTTCTTTCCACACTCGAGAGATCAGAATTTCTACGGAGTGGACACGAGATGTGTGTGGACGTTGTGTGTCTGTGTATGTGTGTGTGTGACGTCACTCCAGGAATGGCACAGCTGTCATCGAGCGAGCGATCATCTTGGCCCTTTCGTACCGTGATATTCGCTCGGAACGCTCACTAATACGTAACGTTACGTCGGTGACCGCTACCGCGGTCGATCGACAAACTTAAAGCAACGAGATGCGAAAGGTCGGTCCAATCGCGTATCTTACACAAGACAGCGAGTTTTCTCTACATACACGACTTATGTGTACGTTCTTCTCCTTTCTCTCTCTCTCTCTCTCTCTCTCTCTCTCTCACGCGCGCATACATACACACACTCTTCTTCTCTCCTTCTAAATCGCATCGCTTCACGAGTTCGCCTCGTCCTCTACGACACTGGCCCGTTCTCGAAAGTTACGCAACGGTAAACTTAACTAACAACGGTGGCCGATCATCCGAGTCCGCGACTCGTTTACGGATCTCCTGGGTCGCCATCGAGGAACGCGAGCGTCTTTGGGGCGAAAGGTCGACTCGAGGAATGAGAGAGCCGCGGTAGGTAATTGGCGGCCGCCTGTGATATGTGAATGAAAGCTTACAAACTGCGTTGTACTAGGAGAGATAGTTAAATGGAAAGAAAAAGAAAGACAAAAACGAAAAGATGATACCTTCAGGGGGGAGTTACGCTCGGCGTTCTATTATTATCTCAAGCGCGTCGACGATTTACAATTTTACGTTAAGGAAGTGCGGTCAACAACGTCCATGGAGTGTCCGTTTGTCATTGCGCGACAGGAAACGGATCCTCCCCGTCTTCGAGAGTCACCGATCTCATGAATCCCCGTCACTGTTCTCTTCACCGGCGCAGCGTTTCACAGTTTGTACACTCGAAAACGACTCGACGTTTCCGCCCACTCGAGTTCCTCCTCGACAGGAGCGATCGCGGGCCCCCTCGTCGCCGAGCCGCCCGCGGCTTCTCGTTACAACTCGGTCGTGAGCGGCTCGGCCTTCTCGACGATCACGTGGAACTCGGTCTCTCTGTACAGCCTGCCGTCCGGCACTACCATGGTTATCCTACTGTCAACCGGTGTGCCGGAGGTGGCCGCCTCTCTGCCGATCACGCCGTTCTTCTTGGAGACCACGTCGGGCGCGTTGGTCGGCACACTGATCCACTTCTTCCGGTTGTTCCGTCTGCGTCTCCGGCAACACCAGACGATCAGGCACACGGCCACTATCAGGGCGAGCAGGGCGGCCGCGATGATGAGAATGAAGATGAGCATAGAGCCGCCGAGCGAGCAGTGGCGCGCCTCGTAATCGGTGAAGCTCGTCGGTACACCCTCCACCCGGGCATCCAAGCAGAGGAACGTCTCCGGGGTCTCGTTGATCGGCTCCTGAGGTTGCAACGTTGGCGGCGCGAGCGAGTTTTGTCTCGCGTAGAACCGCGAGTACACGTTGCTGTAGTTGAGCACGTTGTTCTTCCACACCGGCAGCATCTGGCAGTCGCAGGCCTGTGCGACCAAGAGATTGTCGAGCTCCGGCCGGAAGCTCGTGCGGTCGAACATCAACGAGCCCTCCTCGAAGCTGTTGACGCTGTTGTTCTTGAAGATGAGATCGTGCAGGCCGTTCGCCGACGACGACGGCGCTCTGATTTCACGATCCGCGCGTATACCTAAAAACGCGCCTACCCCGATGCTGCCGAATGTGTTGTTCTTGACGATCACGGCGCCGTGCGCCGTCACATCGAACGCCTCGCTCTCCAGAGTGTCGATCGCGCAGTTCTGTATCGCCACTGTGCGCGGGCTCCTCACTATGAAGGCGTCGCTCCGTACGACGCCCATCCTCACGCCGTCCAGCATAAATTTGTGGTAGACCTCGATGTCGTTCATCGTGCGGCTGGGCACCTGCTCGCCGAAACTGCCGCCGATCACGTGCAGATAGCCGACGTCAAACTTCTTGAAGGCTTGCGCCTCCGTCGTCTCGATACGGCAGTTCTCCAGCCGCAGGGTGTCCGTGTGCACCAGATTGGCGAACGAGAAGGCACTCAGCTGGCCGATCCTCACGTTCTCGAAGGTGATCGCTTCGACGTCGCCGCGGAACACAAAGCTCGGCATCACGTCGATGCTACTGTTCCTCACGGAGATTCGCGTGCGTGCGCTATGCGCCGATAGCTCGAAGCTCTGCCGCACCAGGCTCAGATTCGCCACGTTCACCAGGTCCACCGATCGTAGCCCGACCATCGAGGCGAGACTCGAGTTTGTCAGGATCACGGACGAGCAGTTGCTCACCACTATCCGGCTGGTGTGCGGGCTCAACCGTCTGTCTCCCTCCGTGGTCAGGATCAATTCCTGCGGAACGAACGAATTCTTAGATTAGTATCTTATTCATCTCGCTTTGTCCACTTTATACTTTAACACAGCGAAGGTGGCAATTGAAATTAATTTCCTCCTGGGAGAAATTCCAGAACGATTCGAAATCACACGATAGGAGCAAAGGCGTAAACCTGTTTGAATTTGTTTCGTCAATATCTAGACGTACACTGAAAAATTGTTAATTTCGCTACAATTATAGTCATTCTCGGCGCCAATAATGTCTCTTGTTCTAACAAGAGAATGATACACACAGAAAAATGTCATTCTACTGCCAAGAAAAGCGATTTCTCTCTCTCTCTCTCTCTCTCTCTCTCTCTCTCTCTCTCTCTCTCTCTTTCTCTCTCTTAAGTAATGGTTACCTTCAACAAAGAATATTTTCTTGATAATAGTCTTAAAATATACTCATTGCAAATTTGAGGAAAGCTCGTCATCGTGTATTCGAAAGAAGAATTTAATCTCTTTACAAGAATATTGTGAAATTTTATCGGAGAAAAAGTTGGTTCGATTCTGTGTGGTAAAAGCAAACCGAATTTTTGTCTTAATTTAATATTCTCTCGGTTGAAATGTTAAACTCATTAGAATGCAAAATGTGTTTTGAGCGAATTTAACGAACTTGTGATGAACTTGGGTCAGATTTGCGAATATATAACACCTATGAAATACTTGAAACATGTACTCGAAGGCAGTATGTATTTTTTGTGTGAAATAGCAACACGTCTAGAAAGTTATCATTGATCAGCACTGCAACATTAAAGTAACATTTACTAAAAAAGGATAATTCTCCCGACAATAATTCTTTCACTACGCAGTTACAGTTACAAATACCAAACCGTTTTTTATCGTTGCAGTAATGAGAGGCACGTTGACTGAGCTATTTGAGATTATCTTTTAATCAGAAGCAAATACGGGAGGGAGAAGAGAAGTTAATGGCACAGAGAGGATATTTATGAAGCCGGTTTCGTTTCAAAGTACTCCCCGTCACGGGAAGATTTTCTCGCCCACGAACTTGAATTCGGACACGATATCACCGAGGAAGGAAGGGAGGAAGAGAGGGAGAGAGCAAAGAATCGCAGCGTTCGAGCGTAATTTGGGTAGCACGACGCAATGCGCCGGATCCGGGCGGGCCCTAATAGGGTTCGAATAGCCGTAATTGCGGGTCTAACGATCCTAATTATTCGCGACGTGTGTGCGCACACGGTGCCGCGGTCGGTTTCGCTGCTAATTATCGCGAATAATGTCGTTGTCATAATCACGGGACAGAGAGCTTAATTTCGCGAAGGACCATGTTGCAGTGGTCGTCATCGTCGTCGTCGTATCCGTCTCTCACGGGAGTCGAAGGACACTCGTCTTGACGGCAGTAATCTCCGATTCAAGGAGTGTCTCTTCCTCGTTTCAAATCGACGTTTCTATCGCTACCTCCTTCCCCTCCCTGCCTGGGCTTCTAATCGGTGTTTTTCCTTCCCCCCGATCGACTCCGCGCGCATTTACACGAAGCTATCTCGCTTCTGTCGGATTTTCCGCTTTAGCGCGCGCGCGCGCGCGCTCGTCGTCGTCGTCGTCGTCGTCGCATACGAATTAGATCAGCGCGGGATTATCCGCGTCGAGCTCCTCGTCTGCGTCGCACACGAATGCCGTTTTCGATATCTGCGTGGATGGCAGCTATTCGTCTCGCGTGCAACGGCAAATGGACTCGTAGAAAAAGCGACGGGGGACCATTTTGGCAAACTCGCGCTATCGCCACGGGATCGCTTCGCGATGTGTACTCGCTGTCTCATTTGTTCGCATTCGCAACTTTCGCAGCGACGCCGGAATGTCGCCGATAACGCTGGTCGACGACTGCCAAACGTATCGGACGGTCGATCGAGGAACGCTGCGATTCTCCCGCTTTGATCGGCCACAAAGGGGTCGCGTGCGATATCTCTCGCGCACTTCTCGTCGCTCGAGGCCGCGAGTGTGTATGCTGCTCTTATTAATTAGCACACTCTCCAGACTAATCGATTTGGTCGAACATCGAGTTTCAAGAGAGAGAGAGAGAGAGAGAGAGAGAGAGAGAGAGAGAGAGAGAGAGA